TTATATTTACTTATATAAATTAAAGTAAATGAAATAGTTCATTAAAAAGTTTAATTGGATGTGAAGAGAAAAACGTGACATTGTTTTAGTGAAACCATTAGTATTACGCATTTTATCCACTTTAATTTTATTTTTAAATGTTTCGCCTAGCCGAAATTCAGTTTCGCTTATGAAAATATAAAAAGATAAATGTATAAGTATCATGAGACTTATCGACCAGTCAAATGTACATTTCCGTATTTTGTCAATCATTTATTGATCTTTTACTGGTTTACCATTATTTAGTACTGATAATAAATATGTATTGGATAAGTTTTAATTCTTCTTTATTCAGATCTTTAAGGAAATTTTCCAGCCGTTCAATTTACGTTGAATGTAGCTGTACAAATTTTGACATTTAAAAATTATTCCGTCCACAATACTTAATATTATTTTACTTCAGTATTATAACGTTGTTATACGTATTTGTGTATTTCGTTATCTGTGAAAGATAGCAACGAAATCATTCTCTTCCTCGTACTTAATATCTTGGCATTAAATCACCCTGCCAATCATCCCATAACAAATATCGCAATCCTATCGCGTATTTGAAGTCTGCTATTTTTCTCTCTTATCATTTCCTCACATCTCTTTTTAACAATTTTCCCTACATTCCAACCCTTTCTTTCCCATTCATTTAACTGTTTTTGATTAATTTTTAAATCTTTTAGTGCCTCTTCCCTTTCCTTTTCCTATATTCAATATTCTCTTTCTACAATATTTTTCTCTGATACCTTCCTCTTGTAATTTCCCTATTTTCTCCTCATATTTTCTAGCCCTTTGATGGTTCTTCTACCATTTTACCACTTTCTATTTCCCTCCCCAATATGTGGTCTGCGGTGCTCTAATCTATTTGTAATAACCACTTTACATATTTTTTGTAAATTCTTTCTACTTGCCCATATTTCTTTGAACCTCAAGTTTCTGTCCCGTAAAATACTGAACTTCTAATTACTGCATAATCATTCTATTCTAATAACATATCCTAAATATCTATATTTTTTCTTCTTTTCTATAATCACCTATCCATACGCTTCTGTTTTTTCAGTTTCCATCTGTAGTATTATACTGCAAGTTAAATACAGCTAAATGTGAATAATATAATCATGTCTATCTTTTATAATTTCTACAATTCCGAAGACTATCGTTATGGTTTCATAATCTACCCTGAGGCTAAACATTGGCATATTTACGTAAGGCAATAAAAACTAAAAATAAATTTTCATCTCTTTAGTTTACTTGATTTTCTTCAGTACCTAATATATTTTAGAATTACGAATTAGATATATTTAGAAATTTTAATTTGGAGTTTTTAAAGTGATATTCTATTTAAACAGATCTTCTCTCAATATCTAAAGGAAAATTGAATTTTTCGTGGAAAAATTAATAAGCTTATACAACTTTTGAGAATTGAAACCAAAATTTGATGTTTCTTTTACGATCTAATCGGAAATAAAATAGGAGAGATACGTTATTTCAATGTTATTCCAAAATCATCAAAAATTTCAAACCTTCCCTAAGCTGTTGCATAATAGTTGTTTGCTGATTTCAGATATTTGTGCCAATACATGGTGTTATCTTATCAAGGAAGAGGGAATGGTCTAACTACGTGGAATGGTAAGTTGTTTAGTTAATTATTGTGCACAAAAACTTTAATATTTATTGGAGCCGTTTTTTGGTTAATTCAGATTGGATGATGGTTATGCTGAGATGGATTTCGAATAAGTTCATTGGAACCTGAGTTTGACTGTCTTTCATTCAAGGGAAGAAAATGGGTCATCCTATGAGTCTGTGCCGAGCGATTTCATTTCTACTTTTTAATTTTTATAACAATCTGTAAAAAAGTGGGTTTATTGAGCTGAAGTTTTGATTTGTAATGTGTCAATTTTGTATTACCTATTTTAGTTCATGCTTTCCTTTTGGGCGGCTAAGTGTCTAGGTTTTTAGATAATTATATAATATATAATTTGATCCAATACAATCTAATTTAATTATT